AGTTTATCAATTAGTACCCTACAGATTGACAATCCAATGATCAATTCATTTGTTGATAACGCATTGAACCTATTTGACTGGGGAGTAAAATGTTTATTTGGTGCGATGTCCATTAGCCATGTAAATATACATATTCAAGTTATTTGTGTGAGATTTGTTTCACGACTAGTTCCTATGTAATCTATATGTGTGCTACGTTATGAATTTAACAAATTATATAGTTGGCATCAATATATGTCAAATTTATCATAATCAATAACAACATTTGAATTGCTAGTTATTTCAAATTTCACTGCTCTCATATAATATAGGCACCTCGTGCATTGTTCATTTGTGCTTAGCATTATTTACCAATATGATTTCACATCAGGGTATAAAATTGGATATTTTCACCGTGTCAATGTTTGTTGTGTATGTTTTATCTCGTATTTCAATTGTGTGTTTCATCCATATGTACCGTCAAATATTTATGTATCGTGTGTAAACTTCTTATAAGATTAGTAAGCGAATTTTAATTGACATCTAGTAAAAAATTGCAAACTAGTTCTAGAAGGCTGCGTGGGAATTGCAGATCATGTGAATCTAGTAAATGTTTGGCCACGAAAGCAAAATAGCTATGTGTTTGGACATTAAGTATGTGTTGCATCCATACGTGCAACAAAATATCTACATGTCGTGTGTAGACTTCTTAGACACACACAACCAAAAAAAAAAAAAAAAGAAAAAGAGGAAAAATACATTACCATAGTCATGAAATAGACTCTCATGTTCTCATTTTTAACTTTGTTATCTGAATATGAATAACCACCAGTTCATACTGTTATAGGTTTTAGTTATGTGTCGACATTCATTAGATCGTGCTAAAACGTGGTTTAAGATAATTTGCTGCTTCATCTATTCGATTTCCAAAGTAAAATGTTTATTATCTTGCATGTCCATTAGCTGTTTAAATATATACATTCACGTGATTTATGTGGGATTAATTTTAAGATTGTTTTCGGTATAATCTACTCGTGTGCTATGATATAAATTTTTAACAGACGCTAAGGGGGCACACTTGCTGGAAGAAAAAACTCCTAAGCGTTTAGATTTACATATCGAAATGCATTCCAAGTAAAAGCAGTATCTACATCGTTGGTAAGAGAAAATCCCTAACCCTAAAGAAGGAAGGTGTTTAGAAAGAAACAAAAGCAATAAGCACCAACAGAGTCCAACGAAATTCAATGTAAGACTACATAAACAAGAACATTACAATGCAGCGATTATGTTTTAGAACAAAATACCTAAATGAATTCTGGTTTTCTTAGATGATTTCTTCTCAGAATCGGCTCCACAGAAGTCCCAATCTTGATTTAAGAGAGGATGAAACTATACCAGAGGCGAATTCACCATAGAAGCCATTTTGGATTCGTCATTGCCACCATTGATGCTCTTATCTCATCATCAATTTCATCATTTTGAATTTGAATTCCCACGTTTTCAGCCTTCTCAATTAAGTCCATCCGTTTCCATCATGCACTGTTATTTTCAGTTACGAGTAAAAATATGGAAGGTTTTGATTTGTTCCCATTTTTATTTTAGTTAAAAAGTGAATTTTTATGTGTATGTAAGGCATTTGTGATTTTTTCCTATAACCAAAGCAAGTTTACCAGTAAGAGGCCAAGCCCATGCTATGCAGAAGTACTCCAGTATTTGTTAGTTCCAAGACAAAGAGAGAGAGAGAGGGAAAAAAAATGCATTCTATTTCTAAAGTCAACGTGCTTATAGCATCTCCAATAATGATATAAAATTGAGTTTAAATTGATATCTTTAAACTCACTTTTACATCTCGGTAGATCTAAATTCAAGTTCTACTCCAAAGAAAATATCGAAAAAATTAGGAGCAAGTAGGTTGGTAATTTTTTGTTTTTTGTCAGTCCCCCAGGCCACGGTAGATATCAAAAAATGTAAATTTACATCATTTTCTACATTTTCAATTGAAAAATACAATTTGCATTTCCTTTACATCTCCCACTTGAAGAGATTTTCGACCACTTTGAAGATTATTCATCACATGCTAAATGATAATAATCCAGAGCAAACCCATCTGTTTGAACATATTATTTTAATTCGATTCACTAAAGGAAGATACGTTCTTCTCATTAACTTAATCCTCTAATTTGTTCACTGCGTCAAGTATGATTAAGCAAATTCTTATTCCATTTAATAAAATGCCCCAGTTATCAATGGCCAACTAATGACTGTTATGACCATGAAGATTGCATTACCATCTCTTCATCAGTGATGATTATCATAAGTTTAGACGATAATGGACTCCTTGATATATTGTCCAATGTAGACTATCAATTTATTATTATGATGGCAATCGTAATTTGGGCAGAAGATATTGTAGTGTTCTGTCTTTTATTTTCTTATGTATGTATGGAGAGCTCGTGATACATGCAGAAGCACAAGATACCAGATGTTGACTTTAAACCATAAGAGTGAAAAAAATCTTGAGCAGTTGCCTGCTAAATTTGCATTGTAGTCTGGGTATTGTCATTTTCTTTAGCAGGTCGTGTTCCCTACCTCATTTAATTTACCCTGCCATTACATATTACTCGTTGTACTTATTGCACAACCCTAACTACATATAGAACCTTGACACTACCCAATTATGAAGATCAAATTTGAAATAAGGAAAAAAAAAATATATTGCACAAGAACGGTAAACTTACCCGTTTGACGATGGGACATACTCGAAAAATTTTAAGGAAACTACACTTCATGCGCACAATCATATACTTGTCACCGTATGTCAAGTAGCGTCACTCTGATTCTAGCTTCTTTCAGATTTTCTACTTGAGTAAATTTATTATCATACTTGGTTCGTGGCTTCATTACCGTTTTCTTGATTATATCCAAAATCTCCCTAATACATTTCCTTATCCTCGAGCAGAAAGATGGTTCTTCTACTGTAACGTCACTTGCAACCGCCATCTTCAGTGTAGATGGTGGATTGGAGAGACCTCTTTAGAAGTATCGAAAACCATATTGTTCAAATCATCAACTGGATTTTTGTACATTTTTGTACCTTGCTCCATTGATGCCATAAGCCACCTTCAAGATTCCACTTGGGCTCTCACCAACAACATTTTAGCCGACATGCTTTTAACAAGATTAACTAATTCCTACATATCATTTTGAATGATTGAACTAAGCTTGATTTTGTAACAGTTGAAACATTCAATAACCCATGCTTCACTTGGTATTCATCCCAATGTGCAAAAGGTCCCAAGCTTTTAACATATTTTTCCAAGTTGCCCTCAATTTTATTGCACCGTTAGAGTTAATTTATTAGGTTCATATATTTGCTTAATTTATAATGGGGTCCAGCCTTCTCTACACATTCAATATCATTCCCTAAAATTTTTAGTTATTGCAATTTGGTCACTGGGTTTTCTAGATTTTGTAGACAAGTCCCTTAATTTTCCAATTTTGTAATTCAATCCCGAAATTTACTAGTTCTTGTATATCCCTAAAAAATGAATACGATATGCATCTGAGCATACGTGCTCTAAATAAATTTTGAATGAATATATCTTGTCCCTCGGGATAATTTAAACTTTTCGATAAGATAAATAATATGTTTCACATTAATATGACAGTTTTTAAAAATTAAGGGTCTTTCTGGGTGTACATGGTAAAATTTTATAGACCTCCTACAGATATGGGTGAGGTCAGTATTTTTATGGGCATTTTTCATTACATGGTGTCCTGCGTGGGGACTAACCCCATATGAGCGTCCAGTAGAATACTTGTAAATTCTTACCCGGTACACCCATCAAAATTGCCCTTTATTAAACATAGTACGGTTTTATCTACCTCATTGAAGGTTTCTTTAGTGCATGCAGCATGTAGGAAGGAAAAGTGGCTGAAATTAAGAATAGGCGATGGATTAAATCTCATCAAATTAAATTAAATTTTTTTCCTATTTTTAACCACATAATCTTCAATAAAATAATATTACACGTAAATCGAAAATTTTCCGTTCTTTTACAACCATCAATTTTTCAAAAAAATAATATTCCTCACATTATAATCAAAATTAATGAGGGCCAAAGGGGGGTTAAATGGGCAAGAAAATTAATGCCACATTAGTTAGAAAAGTACGGTGAACGCCTATTTTTTCCGCTTATAACTAATATATGGAAATCAAAAGCTTTTACTTAACGTATTAATTAATTTACAATATGTATATAAAATTATTTCGATACTAAATTTAGCAACTAGTACGTTGATTTTTTGTTTGGCTCTTATTTTCTAAAATTTATTTTCAACAAAACACTTCACGAGACTCGTATATTTTATCAACTTTTTAATTATACATTTTATCAATTTTTATCAAAATCTAATAAAATTTTGATTTATAACTAAATCAAACAAGGACTAAATACCAAATTTTTTTTATTTATTCTGAGTTGTCTCCATAAGCTAACCCTAGTTAAGCTAAGCTGTCGTTTTCCTTTTCAGTCAGTTTTGTTGCCTTCGTATTTTTGACGGGGATGTTTACAGAAATAAACATTATTATATTTTATACATGCAACTGATCCTCCCATATCAAAAATCCAACTCACTTTACCATCTAATTTCAGCACTTCATTGTCAAACCCTCAATTCCAATTCCTTCATTTGGAGACTCATCTTTTTTCTCTCGTGAAGTAATGCTATTCATAATGAAGACTATCGGTAGTCGTCTTACGTGATACGCGCATGACATTGCATTATTTGATGCGTTAATATGGCAAATTTTATTGTCTTATGCATCAAATGATAAATTAACATATATATATATATATATATATATATATCATGTAGAACGATTATCGATAGTAACAGTATTATTCATATGTATATGGGGAGAGAGAGAGAGAGAAAGCATCTGTGTAAACAAGCCCTACTCCTGTCAACATATATAGAGCTGCCAGAGGGAGTGTTGCTATAATCTAGCATTTCATCGATTCATCCAACATGGTCTGAAAGCATTTTAAGGCGATCTTTTTTCATATCCACATTCTACAATTAAATCCATCATCCATGAAATGTTACGTCAAGATCAGCAAAAAAATTTCCAGTTTCAAGCAAATACAAACCCATCGTTTTAATGCATTGATTATAGTCAACTGAAAGTGGTACACTACCTATTCAGCTTCATGAATATTAATTCTTCAACGGAAGGAACTCAAAAAACTGGGAAGAATTGAAATCAGAATTCGTGGCTGCAGCCGATATCTCCGTCTCATTCTCCACTACACATTCATTGTTATGGTAATTGCCATGGCCGCTTTGAAGAGGAAACAATTGAAGTGTCTGGAATTCCTGGCCTCGGGTTCCGATAAAAGGATCAGAATCTTGAAATTTCATAAACTTTGGATCAATTTCTGTTACTGTTAATGGACAAGAAGTAGATGTAACATCAGTAGCAGGGTTCATTAGGTTGGTAGGAGATGATGAACAATACAAGTGCATCATTTGCCACGTGGCATTCCTTTCTACCACACTCCTCCTTTGTTGTAATTCTGCGGCCTCATCAAACTGTAACCATCCATCTGACTTACATTCTGCTTCTGCTGCCCTTTGTGTTGAAAGGGTTTTCTGATAATTAAACGCATGACAATAGTTCAGATATAAAATGAGAAAACACCATAAAATTCTTAAAATAAAATGTTGAATACAAGTATGGAACAAAATATTTGACAATATTTTAACTTTTTTTATTCTCTAAGTACCAAACAAGCCTTGTAGATTGACCAATGACATGGCCCCTTCTCCCCCTTATTCAATGGTTTTCTGATAATTAGACGCCAAATGGGAAAATACAGTAAAACGTTAAGAATTATAAACTCTAATTCTATCAACAGGAGCAATAAAGTTGAAGAAAGAAAATAGACACAAAAACAGTGGTTTTCCTTAATTTGAAATTAAAAACCTCCTCCTTTCACTGCACTAATTTACTATGTTGAAAAGAAGTTTACAAGAGAAATCGCACAAGCTGCGTTATCTAACCTTTTCCGTGTATAGATTCGAACATAACACAAGACGTGATAGAAGAACACAATAAGATTTCACAGTTTTTTGACGATATACAATACTAGTACAATTGGTGTTCCCAATGACATAGCTGCTTTCTTGACCAAAACCTAATTCATCAGAAGTACAATGTATAGAGATTAAATAGTCATTTAAAAGTTAAGTCAGACAGTATCATGGGCTCCCATATCGATTTTCCAAACGAAATGAATAAGCACGGCACCCAAAAACCCTAGCATTGTTTCATAGCAATAGCTGCCCCGACAAAAAGGAAGATATGCAGCTTTTGGACCCTTTTCCTTTCCCAACAAACAAAAACAAAGATTTTGATGCTTCTAATATTAAAAACCTAATTCTTACATGATGATCATGTAATCATATCGTAATTATTAGTTAATTAGAGGAATCTAATTGCTTTTTCGGAGAGACTGATGTTTCTTAATTCTGAGTTAGGTAAAAGGGGGAGTTTTTTTCACGAATAAAGGCAAATGGGAAAGAGGAAAGAGACCTCTGCAATTGTACTACCGTTTGTAGGAGATGCCCAATTTTTGGTCTGTTCACCTTCGAATCCTGTTTTGTTTGCATCTGTAAACAGAAAGAAAAACAAAAAGAAGGTAACTTTATAACATAAGAAACAATCGGAATCGGATTCGGATTCGGAATTGGAATCGGAAAAAAATAAAATTCAACACAAATTAAACAAATACATTGCAAAAGGAGAACCTACTGTATATCAAACAACCCTTCATCTTTCTGTCTCTCTTCTCTCATGCTTGAATATTGATGATTTGTAACTTCCATTAACTTAAAAGCTTTTGAAGAGATATCCTAAAAGTTTAAGTTATTTAGAGGGAGATGGATTTATTTATCTAAATAATGTCTTGAATATGCCCAACTTTATTTGAAGGTCGAATTTATCTTTCCCGTGCAACTTAAGTCGAACTACTTTTTCAAAAAGTCTATGCTTTTAAAGTGGGATTTACATGTTTGTATTTTTTTATATTTTGACTTGAGAACGTGTATCAAATTAAGAACACAAAATCTAGTAATATTTTCCTCAGATTGATTTGTACCTGTAGATTCTTTATTGTCACCATTCTCCATGTTATTCCGGGGTGGCTCATTATCAGAAACAGATTCCAGCTGACGGCGGCGTTTCTGCCTCTCTCTAGCTTTATGATTTTGAAACCAGTAGAATACATTCTTCCCTTCAATCTTGCCATATCGTCGAAGTTGTGCAGTAATGTGCTGAATTTGTTCGGCCGTAGGAGTTCGAGTTCCCCGTCGATACAGTTCTTCGAGGGTTTGTAGCTGCTCTGATGTAGGATTCCAGCGTGAGCTCGCTACAACCTGCTGCGTATTGAACTCTCTCTTATTTTTCTCAGTCACGCCTGCTGAAGTAAATAGGAAAAAGGCTATTAATACATACAAAACAGAAATAGAGAGAGAGAGAGAGAGAAAAGACTTACAAATATGGTGATTTAGAGAGAGCAGATCAGTGCCATCCATACGGCTGAAGCAATGAGGGTTTGTGATAGTGCTGGTGGAGGAATTTGCAGCATGTCTAGGCGCAAGGGGCCGAAATTTCCAGCCGTTAAATGAATCTGGAGTGCTATCAAAATCTCCTCCATCGTTGTATTCCCTCATCCACATCTTCAACCAGAAAGATTTTGGGTTTGAAAATACAAAGAAAGAAGAGATTCAAGAAGCCAAAATATGGTGAAATGGAGATAGTTTCTTGATGAAAAATCAAAATGGGCTGTTTTAGTCTGAGATGAAAACAAACATTAGGTAGGTAGGTTATTTTGAGTTAGAGAGAGAGAGATAGAGATTGAACGGTGGAGACAGAAAGAAAAAGGGGACAGGGAAGGAATGGTGTTTGTTTAAATTGAAACAAAGTGAGGAAGACAATAAGATCGACTAGGCTACATCTCGAGGCAGATAGATGGATAAATAGGCTACTTAGAGAGAGGAAACACACACACATATGACATATATACATAGAGAGAGAGAGAGAGAGAGAGAGAGAGGGAGAGACACACATATGACATATATACATAGAGAGAGAGAGAGAGAGAGAGAGAGAGAGAGGGGTGGAAATCATCCAAAGGGAAGGGAGAGAAGAGAGCGTGGAATTCTGTAGTTATCGGTATATGTGAAGTAAAAACGACGTGACGATGATGAGGGTTATCATAAGGCTCATCACCTCTTTACAGTATCATTTATTGTTCTTCTTCTGTCCAATACTTTTCACACTAATTCTAAATCCAAACTGCCCCTCTCCTTCCTCTGCCTCCCCTATGGTGTGTGTATGTGAGAGAGAAGAATGTACGGTCTCTGTGATAAATTTCATTGCCAGACTAAGATGGTAAACTTACCTTTAGCGTTGGACAAATCTCCCGAATCGAACCCGACAGTTCTTGTCAAATTAAATACTCAAACGGGTATCTGAATTGAGAATCGACGGGTACGGTTCGATTCTCGATTCTCGACCAAGAATCGAAGAACCAAATCTTTCTAATTTTTTTTTATAGTGAATAAATCAAATTATTTTAATTTTAATTTTTTCTAAACGAATTAACAATTTAACAATTTTTAAATCCAAATTTTTGTTTCAATAATTTGTTTCATTTCTAATTTTTTTAATTTTTGGCCAAATTATCCATTTTATTGTCTTATTTTTTAGCCGAACAAGATTCAACCCACTAAATAACTCTAAACACCTACACTAAAGTGCATAACGCTGTCTTGACTCTCACAAACTCGCTAACATTACAAAACCTATACAATCGTCGATCGACGCTGTGACCTCCGATCGAAGCTGTGACCTCCACCAACCGAAATTTTGACCGTAGCGATATTTGAATAAGGTAGTCTACTAGTCTCTGACATTTCAAAACCATTGAATGTGTCATTAATTGTATTTATATAATCTTGTTATAAATGTTAAAAAAATTAATTATAGCACAGAATCGAACGGAATCGAAAAGAACGGAACTGAACCCGAACGGTTCCATTTGCTAAATACCCGAAAATTTCACCCCTACTTGTGATAATTTAAAAGGACTAACCTATAAAGCTTATAATACTCTGCCTCTCTATCTTAACTTGTTAGTCCTTTTCTCCTTCTTGGCTTGATGATCTCTTGTTCTTAAATTATAGTGTTCATTATGGTGTTTCAAGTATTAATGAATCTACTGATCTATTATATGGTTATTCAAGTATTGATGTGATATTCTTTGAGGGTTTATTTTTCTGTACTTATAATTAGCTTCAAGATTGTTGAAAGTTATGGTATGAAGGGTTCTTGCTGATTTTAGTCACTGGCTGTGAATTGTTTGATCCCTTTGGTGTATTTTTATTTTTGCTACTATATTATTAGGGGGTAGGCTGTAAATTTAAGTTTGGACAAATGTATATTGAGGAACTGAAGGGGGACAGCATTTGTGTGGTAAGGATTTATAAATTGTTACAAAATCATCTAGAAACTTGAGCTAATTTATTTATTTGTTTTGGCGAAGCTGGGATGAGTGCTGGAGGAGGTCGGAAACAATTGTAACCTGTTTTCTAAGATGAAGATTGCAAGCATATATGCTAAATTGATTAGTGATGGAGTTAATGAAACTTAAATTTCGATACATATATCACCACATGAAAAATGGTATGAAAAGATAATTGAATTTGGAGTTCAACTTAAAAAATGAATTGCAATTTAGATTAAAAGTTATGTGCATTCGAAATCAGGTTGCATAAGAGATTGCACAAGCTACTAAGCATAAGGTGGGCGAGCCCTAGGTAGAAATTAAGAGGCTTCTCCGTATTTTGCATCAAGCCTAGCATAGGCGTAACCCCTAAGTGAAGTGATCAAAAAAATTTCTTCTACTTAAAATAACATCTCTACACACCTCAAATTACTCGATGTTTCGATTCTTTCTTAATACGCTTCCTTTAGTTGTTAAAAATGAATTTGGGAGAGAATGAATTTTGGAAAATGAGAGTCTAATAGAGGCTTAATAATTCTGATACAACAAGGAGCATTTGAATAAATGAGCCTAAAAGTGTGGAATTCAATACTAAATAGTAGGTTGTTGGTGTGCTTAAAAATTGCTTTTATTGAAAGTTATCATTTTCTAAATAGTAATCTTTAAGCATAGTCAAACATAAATTGGCAATATATATATAATTTGCTACTTGTGTATCAAAAAGTTGACAATATTTTAAACTGACAAATGGTAATGTATAATGTGGATATTATGTAATCCCTTGTACAAACCTTGATATATACCTGACCAAACCAAGCATGACATTACCTCTACATGCATGTAGAGTCACGCCATATAGATATTATTGTCCTTATATATGAATATGATGCAAGAGAAGAGTGAAGAAGATCTATTAACACATTTACGTGCCAACAAAATTACGGTCCCCATTTGGAATCTTGTATGTATGCTATTCTACTAAATTCATGGTCTCCCTTTCCCCGATTATTGTGCTACTCACTCCAAAGCATGCCCATTATGAGGAAATAATATCAAATATACAATACATTCTAATATTGCGTGTTTTAAACTTTTACTATCGTTGAACTATAGATATAGAGTCAATTTTTTGTCATGAATTCATCTAATGCAGCGCGCGGTTTGTATTATTGCCCTGTATTATGATGCCATGTGAGGTTCACATGAATTTTTTTCACTTTGTATTTGAAGGAACCTTTTAACAAGGACTAAATTTTGTGAAAGGCGATATAAGGTTAGGGTATCTAGAAAGTCTAAATTTGAAGGTGGGGCAAAATTAGATAGATATGCTAAAGATTGAGGACCAAATGTACAATTTTTTTAACTCAAAAGGTACAAAATATATATACATATTTCTAGTAAAAACTCGAAGACTTCATAAAATATCGCTATTTTGTACAAAAATTTATTCATAATTTAACGGTTTTGGTGACCCTAGTGGAGTCAAGTCAACCAACTATAGGATATACGTCGACCATTTAGGCAAAAGAAAAGATCAATCTATCAATCTACTTCGCTCATATTTGATTTAGTGTAAAAAGTTAAAAAATATTTAAGTCAAAGTCAATTTCCAATTGGGCCCTAGTGCAAGTAAGGAGCCGAGCTAGCCCCTTGTTACAGGGACTTGTACCCGGACCCTTTCTCTTCCCAATTTTTATCAACTTTCAATTACATAATTAATCAAATTTTGAACTATATCTAATGGGGGCTTCGTTATAAACAATGTGCATCTTTGAGTAATTAAAAAAATTAGACATCAAAAACAGTTTTAAATTAGGACGGCAAAGGCTTAATGGATTAGGCATCTACAAATGGCAGGCTACCTCCACAAACAGCCACGTAAAAACTGACATAACTACAAATCTTCAGCCGACTGATTGATTTTGGTCAAAGCGAATTTCACCGTTAATTTACACCTCGTCAAGACAAGATCAGTGATGATCTTTCATATCCCAATTTACTATATATGGTCTCCTCTACCATAGTCTAAACCCTGCAGGAAAGTTAGTTGACAGTTAAAAAGTTACTCCTGCAGTTTCAAAATTTGCCCCCAAACGAAGTCAAAATGCGTGAGATTCTCCACATTCAGGGAGGGCAATGTGGGAACCAAATTGGATCAAAGTTTTGGGAAGTTGTATGTGATGAACATGGGATTGATCCAACAGGAAGTTACACTGGAAATTCTGATCTCCAGTTAGAGAGGGTGAACGTTTATTACAACGAAGCAAGTTGCGGCCGGTACGTGCCCCGGGCCGTTCTCATGGATCTTGAACCGGGCACTATGGACAGCATTAAGACTGGTCCCTACGGACAGATTTTCAGGCCGGATAACTTTGTTTTTGGCCAGTCCGGTGCCGGAAATAATTGGGCTAAGGGGCATTACACTGAGGGTGCCGAGCTTATTGATTCTGTTCTTGATGTTGTTAGGAAGGAAACTGAGAATTGTGACTGCTTGCAAGGTTTGTTAGTCTTGTTCTTGAATCTGGTTTTCTTTTGCTGGACTGTGTAGAGTGTAATCATACTGATCACGAATCAACATATAATAGGGAGTGGACGTAGCTGTCACATTTAATCAAACTAATATAATTCGGTGTTCTTTACTCATTTTCTCCTTGCTTTTCACGTTATTAATGCTCTCGATAACAACGATTTTTGTTGAATCTTTATGAAACTTTAAATTTTATAAAATTAGAAACTTTAGAATTTGAACATATAAATTTATTTATTGCCAAGATCCCCCATGTCAAATCATCAAGAAAATTAATAATGCAGAACATACCTTAATTCTTTGGAAATGATTCTTTATTGCTGGATCTTGATTTCGGATCTTAAATCTTGAAACTTGAATTGCAATCTTTCATCTTTGGCTTCTTCACTTTTGATCTTGAATTTCGACTCTTTTGATTATTTAATTCTTCTTCTTGGTTTTGCTTCTTGAATCTAGAATTCCTTATTCTTGATTCTTGATTGTAGATTGTCTGTTCTTGATTGTGAATTTTGGATCTTTCTCTTCAATATAATTTCTCTTGTATTGTTGTATTGATAGGATGACACAAAGAATGAGCATTTACATATGAATTGGGTACCATAACTCTATATATAGTTTTCATATGTATTTCGCCTATCGTTAAATTCAATTCTAAAATAATATGATTTCTACATATATAATTCGGCTCACTTTATTTAGATATTCTAAACCCAGCAATTCAATTCTTTAGTAGATCAATTTAATTTTGAGTTCAACTTTAAGATAGCCTGATATATAATTAATTACATATGAAAGACCCACATGACAAATTAAAATTTTTTCCAGCAATTATGTCTCAATCCATAACGAACTCCACATTGCATGCAGGATTTCAAGTCTGTCATTCTCTTGGAGGTGGAACTGGATCGGGTATGGGGACTCTTCTGATTTCGAAGATTAGGGAAGAGTATCCAGATCGAATGATGCTCACATTCTCTGTATTCCCATCTCCAAAGGTATCGGACACCGTCGTGGAATCGGCAATGTTTAGAGGCAAAATGAGCACGAAAGAGGTCGATGAACAGATACTAAACGTTCAGAACAAAAGTTCATCATACTTTGTGGAATGGATACCAAACAATGTTAAATCCAGTGTCTGTGACATACCACCAAAAGGGCTCTCGATGGCTTCAACCTTCATCGGGAATTCGACTTCAATACAGGAAATGTTTAGGAGAGTGAGTGAACAGTTCAATTCAATGTTTAGGAGAAAGGCATTCTTGCACTGGTACACAGGGGAAGGAATGGATGAAATGGAGTTTACTGAAGCGGAAAGCAATATGAATGATCTTGTTGCAGAGTATCAGCAGTATCAAGATGTAGCAGCCGATGATTATGAAGATGATGATGGAGAAGAAAACTGAAGGTGTTCGAATTTGCTGCTACATATGTTTCTAGCAGCAATTCATCTTTAAGACCATGTTTGACAAAATAAGTAACTTAAGAGTAAATTTGATTTACTTTTAAGTTTAACCAAACATGTTATAGTAATATACGTCTTACTGCAATCCTGCAATCTACCTACCGTACTATTTCATCAACATTTTACGATTGTTATATCTGAATTTTCATACTGTTACTCGTCTATGAATCTCCATTTCCATACTCAAACACGTTCATTAAAGAAAATTATTGGGTCAGCCCAACCCACGAAAATATATGAATGAATTAACTGGGCTCAGGAGGCCCAAAAAATATATGATGTATGTTTATATCATTCGGAATAGTCCAATTCCTGTACTCATCTTTGATATAGTGAATTTCTTCTCGTTTGTCTATGGTTTTTTTTAGTATTGGATTTTTAAGTAAATTTTGTATTCTTGTTCAAATTTTATATATTGCCTATTTTCTCTTTTACGTAACAATTAGTGTGATTAAAATATATTTTTGTTTAAACGTACGCAAATTTTGCCAATAGAAATGGAACTTTTAAAATTATGATAAAATATATAATTTATAAGTAAGTTAACTTATTCTTAAGCAAATCTCAAAGCTTTTCCTCGACACGAATAAAAAATTAAATATACGTAAAAGTAAGCTTAATGGAAATTAATTATGATTAAAGCGAAGTGCCATATTTAATTAAACCCTCGTGCGATATGAGCTCACAAAAGCAAAATATTCCATAAATAAATCATTACGATTGACAAATTTCCTTGACATTCGAGTGATTTTTTACCTACCTTTTTATGAGTATTTTAGGTTAACTTAAATAAATTAATTTATGATGACCATAAGATTATATTTTTTCCAAAAAAATGAGGAAAAGTCACGTGACTCCACGTGCTTTGCTTTATAAATATTCTCTGATATTTTATTATTTTTCCTCATTATTCGAGTAAGATATTTTATGGGATTTAGAATAAACGATACCTCTTTCTGGTACTTTCCAAATTTTAATTACTATATTCAACTAAAATTGCAATGTTACATTTTATTTCTTCGTATTGTTGTACTTCATGTAATGGTGGATGCATCAAATACGAACATGTATCGTAATTTTATAAAACATTCTCGAATTGATCATTTTGAACATAAAATGAAACTTATAGTGTGCTGAAAGGTGTTCAACACCATTGGTTCTAGATATATATATAGCATTATTGATTTTTTTTTAATGAAAACAAATTAAATAAATAAATTTTGGTATAGAAAATTGAATAATATATAAATAATGAAGAGGCAGGAAAAAATGGCATGGAGAGGACAAAGGCACAAAGAAATTGTCTTGGGAAGGGCCGACCCAACAAAAGTTAGTGGGAGACATCCTTATACATATCGCTTCTCGCTTTCTCTCTCTGTCTGTCTAAATTTCTAAACATTTGACAGAGACAACACTGCCTTTTGCACATTTTGTTGCCTTATGCTTTTATTTGTTTGTTTCCCATTCCTCTCTATTTTTATTCACTCTCCCCTTTTGCTTTTCTCTTCCCCACTCAATACTTTTACTACTACCATTCCTTCCACGGACACAAGTGCCTGTGTACTGTGTTCATGCCACTTCATTTCATACCACCCCCAAATTCCAATTAGAAAATCCAAATTTTAAATGATAGATGTGTTGATTTCAAATTTGGATGAGATCCAACGGGTTAATAGATCGACACTCCTTCCTCTTTCACGTGCATGTTATTTGTATTCAGTGACAGCCCTAACTATAGGCGGGGTAAGTGATCGTCTAAGGCTCCATTATGGTAAAGGCCCCAAATTATGTAAAGTTAATTAGTTGAAAAAAAACAAAAATTATATTTAAATTACAATTATCAATATGCAAACATAAGAAACTAATAAATATTGAAAATATAAAAATCTTTAGAAAAAACATGTAAATGGCATAAAACTTACCACTTACATTTATCTATTATATAAATATATCACAAATATTACTCTCTATAAGTAATTTGACAATTTATCTTCCAAACATCAATTTTCTTTTTTTAACTAAACAAAAAGGTCTCTTTGTCTCTTCAAATTCCACGTCTAACAATAATCCACCATAATTTTTTTCAACCCAACAAGAAATAAATTATCTCGCGTTAAATTAAAATTTTGAAGATTCAATTTAACATATTGGTCTGGTATCACTGCGATTATTACAAGCTTATAGGTTTTTCATTTTCATTTTTATCTTCAAAACATATACTACAGAGTTTATAAGCTATTATTATTAGTGTTTTGCTTTAAGCTCATGATAATAGCCTTTTTAGATGCTTGTTAAAGGTACTTTAAATCTAATAATTCTTTACTTGAGTTCATACTTCTTATTTGTAAGTTAATTTAGTATAAAATAATATAAAATTAGAAGCCCATTTGTATTTTATCGTCATTTTCATTATTTTGTTATACTATTTCTCGCAGTCTACATTCTCCAATTTTATATTTAAATCACTCAAACATATATTCAACTTTGTTTTAAATAGTTGCAGTGAGAAAATGATAAAAGAAACGAACAGACCCTTTTGTCATTGCGTTTTAATCTTATATGTCAAATTTCACTTATAATTTGTATTGCATGTTGAATTTTGACATTTTGTTATTTTCCTCTTCAAATTAAGGTATTTAGTTGTCTCTATTAGATTTTTCATGATTATATTAAAACTCTTTATATGAAGGCTCAAGTAAGAATGCGATGATTTTTTTTCATTAAGGCCCCGAATTTTAAGTTAGCATAAAGCCGCTAAAATATTAGGGCCGGCCCTATTTGTATATTTAGGGCCCGTTTGAGCCACATTATTTCAAAAAAAACATTCTTAAACAGTGATTTGACATTATTTCAACTACACATTCTTCAATAAAATAATATTACACGCAGATCAAAAAATTTTCCTTATTTTTTAGCCACACATTTTCCATCAATACACTATTCAAAAATACATTATTACCAAAATAATGTGGTTTAAATACCCCCTTAGACATGTTAAAGGCGCAAACTATTGTTTCTCTACGGGAGGGGAGGAGGGGCACGATTGTACGTGCTCTAGTTAATAAATTGACAAATGATTTAGTGTTGGAGAAAACACGAAAGGAGATGAAATGCGGGAATAGAGTTGGTGTTTTAAGAGTGAGCAATACTAATTTTTTATTACATTAAATGTCATCGAGTAAGTATTTATAGGTAATGGAATGAATTAATCTAAAGTTTTTTGAATGCTTGACACGTGGCATCATATCAATTGTTGATCTCGAAAATTGGACCTTCCACGTGGCCAACCGATAGCCACTCCACGTATTCCTCCCTGCGCACAATCAACGCACGGTCAGATGCACACGGTTGGAACCAACGGGGGTGGTGGCGACCGTATACACTTCGACGGTCAAGTTAGGCTCAGGTGATCGGAACAGTACCAAAGTTATGCAAAATAGTGGGGAGGAGAATATATATATTTGCTTGCTATGGATTGCTAAGTAATAAGAGTTTCATTACCTTTGCCTCTTGCCAAGCCTTGGATATTTATAGGTGAAGAGAACTGTTGGATGTGAGACACGTGTATACATCTGACGGTATGAGGCGTCTGCTCATAGGCGTCAATAAGCCGCGTCTATAGGGTGGGCGGGTAATTACTTCTCCAGAGTTGAGTTGACATAAAGTTGATACGTCACATCAACTAGCCTCATGGAGACGTTAAATCACTTTAAACCTTAGGGGCAGAAAAGATCTTAACAAAGATCTCATTCTGAAATTGGCGGCGGATCCTCTGACAAAGGTCACCGAAAGGGCATTTTGCCTCGGATTCAGGGACGAGGGCGCTTCGATCAGTCCCGCAGAATTGCCTATGCCTCATAGTTTGATAGCAGATCGTCACCATTGATGAAGTCATTTAGGAATCACCTCGGATGAGTGTTCCACACCTTGCATGATGTGGTAGTGGACTTTCCGAAGTGGTTCAGATAGGGGCGTAACACCAATAGTTCACAAGTGCCAAAACTTTACATCCTAACTACCATAGGCACATGGACTTCCACACATTGTCCTGGGCATGGAAACAGGACATTTGTCTCGCAGTTGACCTTGCAAAGACATCACATAATCACATTGTACATGGCTTAGAATGTCGTATTATAGTTGTCCAAAAGGATTAGGATTCGAACCTCAACCGCATAGAGTCTGAAGACACGTCTAACCTACTAGGGGTTAAGTCCCTATTGGTTGCCTTGGACGGGAGTGGCAGGTCAGCATATAGTTAAGTCGCCTCGTAGGTTATTGTAGATGAGGTGTTGAGATCCCTCAACGGCTCGGAATAAGGAGTGATCAAGGTGACGGTGGCTTACCACTTCGCGTCTGAAAATATGTACTTGTATAACATTTTACTTAGTAGATAGTCACAACTTGTCACATAGGCAAATGAGTAACATGATGATTAGAGGTGTTAAAATGTATAGGCTATCTCTTAAGTTAATTAGTTTGACATAGCAAATGTCGAGCATATGCTTGGTTGTGTCGTAGGCTAGCACACCATTAGAGTGTGGACATTTTGGGTCAAGGTGGTCTGGTATAAACGGCCTAAATAGTATCTACTGTAAATTAGTTTATCATCGGATCAAAGATTGAATTTTCCTTAGACCTTCCAGTTTCACTTGATTGTCAATGCAGCGACGAGTGTGTAACCCTTGCTTCAATTATGATTTATAACTCCCATGAGATTCTATCCACGATATACAAACAATAATTCACTAAACCTTTATATGACCTTACGATAAGTAATTAATTTGAAAAGGATCGAATAATTCATTCAGGACAATATATAATTCATATTTCTCTGACACCATATCGCACATATTACTCGAATTTACGATTAATCCTCGAACTTGTAGAGTTTATATATGTTAAGACTTGGGGTCCATCTTAAAAGGTCAACATTGTTAAGAGGAGCAGTTCAAGACCTTATAAGTTGGTCTATATTTTTATCTTTAATCGATGTGAGACTTTATCCCTTAACATGCCCTCGTAAGATGGTGGCTCGTTTAAACAGATCAATCTTGAAATCCATATTCTCATTTATTGAGTCTTAATTAGATCGAATCGATCGTTGGAGTTTAATGTGCTCTGATTCCATGTTAAGGCTTGGGGATCCATCTTAAAATGTCAACCTTGTTAAGAGAAGTAGCCCAAAACCTTATAAGTTGGTCTATGTTTCCATCTTTATTCATTGTGGGATTTTATCCCTTAACATGTCTTGTTAAGATGGTGGCTCGTTTGAGCAGACCAATCTTGAAATTCGTATGCTTATTTATTGAGTTTTAATCAGATCGAATCGCTCATTGGAATTTAATGGGCTCTAATTCCATGCTAAGGCTTGTGAATCCATCTTAAAATGTCAACCTTGTTAAGAGAAGTAGCTCAAAATCTTATAAGTTGGTCTATGTTTCCATCTTTATTCGTTGTCGGATTTTATCCCTTAACATGTCCTCGTAAGATGGTGGCTCGTTTGAACAGTCCAATCTTGAAGTTTATATGCTCATTTATTGAGTCTTAATCATATTGAATTGCTCGTTGGAGTTTAATAAGGTCTGATATCATGTTAAAAGACTTGGGGTCCATCTTAAAATGTCAACTTTTTAAAAGGAGTAGCACAAGACCTTATAAATTAGTTTATATTTTTATCTTTAATCGATGTGGGGTTTTATTCCTTAACAATATACATGTGGAACATTCCAACTTACTTCTCCATCATTTATCTATTTTTACCATCTAAAACTTTTAATTCTTCCCCAAATCTATATTTTCAAAGGTATTCATGATTTATGTTGACGATTTCTATGCAAAAAAAATTATTAAAATAGAGTAAGTTGTCTTTAAACTCGAATGAACAAGTATACTAAATTTATTGTTGATAATTATTCCTCTCATAACCCATTTCAACAATCTTTTTAGTTTAGTTATTGGGATGTTGGTTTTTTCCATACAAACAATTAATAAGGGAAATAAAGTTCAATTCTGCTATAGGGACAGGTCAGCGACAGAATTTTATTCACCCATACACCTGGCTTTTTCTCATTAACAGTTAAAAAAAAAATTATAGAAAACACTACCAATCAAAAATTGCCACTTCATTCCCTGAAAAATGTCTGAATCATTAACCCTATTTGTTCAGCATTTTCCTTTCTTTGTGCAAAATATTGCAGAATTATGAATGAAAGCTTCATATTATTGCATGGTGTAACGTCAAACTCAGTAGGTCTACGTTACCGAATATAATGCCTTAGTGCGAAAATCACAGCTCCCATCCCATGCATTACTAACTAATAAATATCTGAAATTTACATTCTTGAAGTTGAATGTCAGTGTAGCCATGATAAACCATTTGTCTTCAAACTAATGATTGATCATGGGATCAATCCCTCACCATCCATTGCCCTGACATTTTCAATATTATATCAATGATCACTCAGTTAAAAACATCAACGTTAAATCTTACATGGCCTTGCTTTTTTTCTTCAATGGGATCATAAGATTTCCCTCCTCTCGAAATGAGGATTGAATCCAGGTCATCATTCTGGTAAGATTTCATTTTTACAACTTGAGCTAGGCTAGGTCTTGATCTTTTCTACGGCACGTCATTATGTGCCAATGTATAACTGGCGGAATTATTTATTATGTCAAGTTAACAAAAATCGTTGTGAAAAAAGTGGATTAAACGTAGGATTTAAACCCAAAATCTGACCAAAACTAAAGATGTATTGTGATCTCATTTGAATTTGTTCAATTTTCAATTACTAACTCTCCAATTTTCGCTGAATTGTTATAATAAAATATTGTTGTTTGGTGACACGTTGACACTTAATGTCATCGCGGATAATTTAATTTCAATGTTTTTAACTCAAATCACCATTCTTGTTATCATTAGAAACTTAAATTATTACTATCGTAAGAAAATAACTTCAATCGCCATTAACGTAATATATTAAAGCATGATTAGATTGAATTATAATCTCTTTATAATTTGAAGCCAATGTCGAACATAAATTTGAGTTACACATTTATGACCGCTATCCACTTGTTATTCATATATTTTGTAGGACTCATTATCCCTATTTATTATATTTTTTACCAAACATGCACCAAGTGTCACATGAGTTGAGAATCTATTGTGATTTTTGCGACAACAGTTGTGAATAATATGGAATATACGAAAAAAGAAAACATTTAGAGATTTACGTGGTTTGACAATTGGCCTACATCTAGGGGAGCGAAGCGATTGTAATTTGTATTATATATGGATAAGAGAGTAACATCATATATATATTAACCCTGACTCACTTAAGACTTTTGGACCCGTACAAAACCTTTAGGAAAGTAAACATGTATTTCATTCTATATGAACACGTATTAAAATATAATTATTATTTAGACAATTATACCCTCGTCGATATTTGATCATTATTGGAATATACAAAGAAAGAAAACATGGTGGGCATGTTCCTAAGGTCAATAAGATGTGTTCACATCGCATGTGGATCATTATTTGCCACATCACGTATGGATCATTCATTGGAAATAAATAGCATTATTTATGATAATAGCTCAATAATGTTGTTTAGTTTATGTTTAGCTCATTTTTATAATTTTTATTTATAAATGATTAATCCATTATTCATTCACATAGAAAGACTTTCAAATACTTTTCATTTAACTATCATTCGTTTTTGTCTATTAATAATTTAAAGTATTGATAAACACTTTCCAAACATATGAAAAAATCGAGAGATTTGAAAGCCAATTTCCCGTAGTCTTGTCTAGCCAAATAAATGTAAAGCTAGTTTAGCTATGATTAAATGTACGTCAACCTATCATTTATACACACGTACCAATTAAACGTGTGATTAAAAACTGATGAAAATTATGAATCATATAAATTATGTAATTATAATTCATTATTGACTTTAACTTAAATTTACATTAATTTTTGAAACTTCCAAACACGATCTTAATTTATAAATTTAAACAAGCATGCGCATTAAAGAAGAAAACTATTTTTCTTCTTTTTAAGGTCAAAGAAAAATACATTACGGCTTAAAATTCTCATCCTACTTTTTTGAAAGTTCGATTACATATTCTCACACCTTTTGCTATAAAAACAGCAGGCATATCTCACATCAGCCACCATCCTTTTTCCAATACTTTATTTAGTGTAAGAATTAATTCTTAAAATTAAAAAAAAATAAAATAAAAACATCATAATAATCAACGAGATAGAGAATATCTTCTTTTTCTTCTCATGAAACATGATTTTACAACTTTAATACAAAAGAAAATTCCATTCATCCATTCATTTTTATATCTTCATTTTTGCTCTAAAAAGTTTCGGTGTCCAAGTCTTTGATGCTAATCTACGATCTTTGAATCGACACATCACATTCATAGCCCCAACAAAATGTAGTACACAAGCGTAATGGGTAAGGCGATCAACATTCCGAATATCACACTGCAATTCAAGAAAAAAAAAAAATCACACTTTAGTGAGAAAAACATTTTATTTAAAAAAATAAAAAATAAAAAAATATATGGTAGAAAATATACTTACCCAGTGCTAAGAATATCAGGGTGTACATTGTACTCTTTGGCAAAGACAAAGGGGACAATTCCTTGTGGTAGAGCTGCCTGTTAATTAATTAGATAAGAATTTGAATAAGTACTTTTTTCCTTCCTTGATTATCAACTGTCTTGATAAACTGAGCACCCCTTTTTGGAATTAATTATAGAATTTTCAGTTTCGTCAGAAATATATGTTGTATTTGATATTTCGGAACATATTTCATATTTCGTACAAGTGAATAAGATTTTTATATTTCATTTATTTAAATTGTCTACCATTATTCAATAATTTAATTCACGTGTTCAGTGTCATGTGTAAATAATTTAGATAGATTCCTTGTTAACTTAAATTCAATAACAAAAATCCAAAAATAAGAATAAAAATGCAATATTTAAGAGGTAGGTTTGGTTCTTTGGTAGGCAAGATGGTATCTAGGAAACAAGTGAAATGTTTTTCAATGAAATTTTCGTTAGCAATAATCAAATTAAAAAAGAACATGTCGTCCTCGACGTTCATCGTAGTGATACAATCTATCCTCGATTACATAAATAATCACATACCCTCTTCAAAATATGCTTCACTTCAAATTTTTGAGCAACAATCAGAAGTTGAAAAATAGAATCTAGCTACATAAAGTTGGACATGTTAAGGTCACGTAACAATTTAGTGAAGATATACAGGTTCCATTCCACGTTGGGAGTTTGGAAAAAGTTCGGCATGGAGCCTCGGACACAAGCTCAACCTTTCCGATTAAGCGATAATTTCCTTGTTTAGTGCAGGTTAACTAATTTGTTTTATTTTCGAAGGCTTAGGAACTGAATTGCTACTGAATAAGTTGAGGTTCAGTTGTGCATATATTTGACAGTAAAGTTAGAGAGAGGTCAGGATGATGAGTGACCTGCACAATGGCAATACGCAATAGAACGCCGCGAAGGCCAACGGCAATGGAAGCAGCTGCCATGACAGCTGGGCCTGTAAGGAATCTCACGGCCATTGCAAAAGCTGCCACCGAATTCCCACATGCTATTATCCTCGGTTGCAAAGCCATGAACAGTCCTGCATATCAATCATCAACATTGTCATTTACACACACATATACACAAACCATAATCATCACCACCACCACTTTACTTTATGTGTATGTATATGTTGTTCTTTTAATACAGTAAGTACTGAATCTGAAAAATGAAGAATAAAGAAGCAGCAAACATGTAATGATGATTGATTCCAGTGTTGGGGCCGGGGTTTGCTTTTTGAGCATGCTCTAGTTTGATTATGTAAAGTTAGAGTTAATAATCATGATGGGCTTGTGATAGAGAGAGATTATGCCATAATAATTAATTAATTACTCACCAAGACTGAACATTGCCATGCCAAGTCCTGCATCAGACAGTATTGAAATGGATTTTGCTATTATTGCAGGCATTTCAACGTGCCACCTACAAACCAGAAATGCACTTTAAATCTCATTTCCTACTTGAACGAAAACCAATAAAAACTTTAAGGTCAAGATGCGAAAATAAGCATGTACCTGAATGAAACTAGAGACCATGTTAGCCCAATTAAGCTTGAATAAGTGTTGGGATTTCTGATGAGTTTTCTCCACACCATGATTAATATAAGCTTTGTCATTACACTTGTAGGAGGCATCACCTTGGCCTTGTTCTCTCCAACTTTCTCCCCTTGATGGTTGTTTATCTCTCTATCCTCAACTCTATTTCCAAAGCTAAATTCATCTCTCTCCAAGTAATTTTCCTGATTCTCTCTATGAATCTCCACTGAGGCATAATTTAATTCGCAGTTAAGCAAATAAGATACAGTAAGGTCAAATAAAAAGAAAAAAAGAAGTTACACTCTACATTTACCGGGAGATGCAGAAACTTTCACTTCTTTAGTATTAGCAGACTGGTCTAATGCTCCATAATCAGGACCTCCAAACGCATCTGAAACTGGAGAAGCACTTGAACTCCATACAAACATATGAAGATCCTTCGAACCTTCTTGCTGCCCATTTGGTTTCTTGGTTATATTTGGCTTTGACCCAGTTGGTGAAAACATACCAGGATTTGGTGCTGGATAATGTGTATTATTTCCATGATAGAATCTGGACTTATTTACGCTTTCCTCCTCAAAATTTGAGGTTCTTGGAGTTGGCCCTCTTGATGATGTCAGGCCATAAACGTCATTTGCTCCAAAGTTCGAATTCCTCCCACCCCCCATCATGGAATAAAAATCTGTATGATTAAAACTAGATCCTCTTGGAGTAGGGTTTCTTGAAGACTGCAATGAATAAATCTCTGCATTTGTTAGATTTGATGGCCTTGGAGTATTTGATGAAAAACCCATTGATCTTCTTGAGAAAATATCTGATCTTGAGGCATTGGATTTTCTAACAGTGACGTGAAGTTTCCCATCTTCTTTAATTTCTGCCTCAGTTTCAAGAATCTGTCTACCGTCTAATGACATGACATCGGAATCAACATGGATGGAGACAATTGAGCAGGCAGTGTCTGGAAATTGCTGTGAAATCAACATCTTTGCACCTCTGTATTCAAACAAGAACAGCATCAAAGTGTACCAAATGATGCACTGAAGGACAACAATTTGCACCATTAGAGTCCCTGAAGAATCTCCATACATTCCCTTGAGCAAAGGAATGCCCATAACAAGAGTATTTGGAAGAGATGACAAGGAGAAAAGTGTAATTGTCCATTCCAAACAACCCCTATTGCTTATATTAGTCCAAACAGCCAAAACTGCAAGAACAATGAGCTTTTGAAGAGTATCAGCTGCAATGAAACGAAAGTTCATTTCATAAGGATTATTTGTAGCAATGAAGTGAAAAGAAAGCAGTGGAACTGCAAAGAGTGCCACAAAACGGTTGATTCCTGAACACTGGTCTGGCGTGAAAATCTTCCACCATTTTACTGAACCGTAAGCTAATATCATGGCCACATAGAGTGGAACCACTGCAGTCATAACATGATAAAAATCTGATAAAGTTATCATTTTCTGCAAGTTTTTTCAGCTGCCCAGATCAAGAAAACATACGAGAAAGGTGAAAACGAATGAAGTTGAAGAGAACACTGGTTTTTTCACCTGCCTAGATCAAGAAAACATACAAGAAAAGCAAAAAACTGAATGAGTGCTTAAGAAAACTTCGATTTTTCAGCTGCCAAGATCAAGTAAACATACAACTTACAAGAAAGGTGAAAATTATATGAAAGTTGAAGAAAACTTAGGAGGAAGAAGTAGTCGTGATTAGGAAATAGAGGGTGATGAGGGGCATGTGTTTTGGTTTATGGGGTTGTGGGTAGTACTGTTATGTATACAGAAAAGAGGAAATAGTATATTTCTTGGGGCTATACAAAATTTCAGAATGCACAGCTTTAGGATTGCAAGCAAGCTTGCACTTGCAGTCCCCAAAGCAAAGGTGAGGTGGGGTGGAGGTGGATGATAATTTACTAATTATATTTCCATTTCTTTGTTTTGTCCTCTTTGTTTTAAGCTGTGTTTGGATTTGATAGAGGGAGACGGTGGTGGTGTAAATTTGATGAAATGAATCGGTATACAGATTACTGGTTTTTGTATATCGAGTGTAGACAATGGCATCTTATTTGGAGGTTTTATGTAGTGTTTTTTAGTAATTGTTTGGAGAAGCTTTTTAAGCCTCTTTTTCTTCTTTTTCCACAACTTTCTTCTTGGATTCGCATTTTGGCTCATGGGATGTTGATGGGCAATTTTTCCCCTTTCTCGAGAATTTTTTTTTTTTTAATTCCTTTTTTGAATGTTTTAGTGATAAAATTCATCAAGTGAGAAAAATATAAAATATCGCTATATTTTCCGGCCATGCTTTTTTCCCATCTTTAAATTGATCCAACCAAAATCTTTTGCGTATATTTGGTACTTAATGTCGATATACATGAAACTACGAGGATGTGTTTTGCAACCTCCATGAAATAGATGACAAATTATATCAAACGTCTCTCTTCATTTATCGTATCTAATTTTGATAAAACAAATGACAAATTATATCACGTTTCTCTCTTCTCCATCATGTATAATTTTATTCAATTTATTGTACTAGATACGCACTTATTTTACTTCAAAGGTTTTCGAAATTAATATGTTTGCTAAGTTAACTTTGCTGAGATATCTAAGATTTGACTTTTGTGCTTGGTTCACGAATAATTATCATATAATTAAGGGTTATTCTTGGGGTACTTGGAGACGCGCAGTGGACACCCTCTTATAAGGGGTTATGCGCCCCAAGAATAACGAGTACATAATACTTTGCTATTATTATCTCGGGACAACCAAAAAAAATTATAATTTCTTATATTTCTTTAATTCTATTCAATATTACACTTCAAAGCATTAAATATGTCATTGATTGAAACTATGGGAGGTGGGGGAACTAAGATTGGCGTATCACATATACAAACCTCTTGGAGTTCTAAACATTCAAACATAATGTTTGAAATGCACAAATTGATGTAGATCTGGTATTGCAAAAGTTTGGTTTTCAAAGAGTATAGAAGGGCATGCATTGTATTCCTTTGAGGAAAATCATCTTTTTGTCCCTTATCAAATGTCTAAACCTTTATGATTTCTCGTTCAATTGGATTTCTCAAGAGAGTCTCTCTACGCCAAAATCAACACAAAGGGGAGAATTAAGACCATCTACTTATTTTCTTAGGTCACATTCTTATAATAATTTAGTTATATTATTCTAGTAGAACATGTTAGAAAAATAAAAGACATGACCTAAACATAGTTGTAAAATATTTGATTTTGTTGCATTTCTTGCAACCCTTTATGTAGTATCTCGATATAAATACAAGGGGGAAAAACCATTCTAATCCTAATAAATACTGATAATCATACTTGCGCGACTCAATTCAATCCGAAATTTTTATTTGTACGATTAATCTTCCACGACATTGGCTTCCATCCAAAAGAAAGGAAGAGCTCATTAACCATTTCACAACAACGTGATAGAAGTGCCATAAAATGACTCGAGGAAGAAGCCACAGCAAACGGGTCAAATTTTCTTCGGAATGACTAGGCGTAGAGGCATGGGAATTATTGACCATGAGAAGCTAAAAGTTTCGGCAATTTGGTCGTTTCATAGTACTAATAACCTTGTACATAAATTCAGAGAGACACGAAGTATATTTAGCAAACTTTGTCCTTTAAAACATACCTCACCAGAAAACTCAAAACAGACTGGAAATGACTAAATTCAGCAATATAAAGTTACAAAAAAAAAAGTACCAGAACAGACATTTCTTGCATTCTACATGTCTCTGGAGCCAGGGAGTTCAATCCACCCAAGCTGAATTTCCACTTCACCACACTCCACATTTCTCAATCTCAGGCACAAATCTTGCATCACCTTGCCGTCATTCCAGACGACGCGACTCTCTTCAGCGAGGCAATTCGACCTGCTCGGTTGTATTCTTGTAAGTATAGTACCACTCGGGAGGTTGTCTAATTTCATTCTCAAGACTTCTACAAATGGTTTAATGTCTATTTCTGCGTCTCCCATTTTGTCGTCCATGCTGAAAGTGTCATGGTCGTAGACAGTCTGAAATCATACAAGCAAATAAGAATAGAGATCAGAGATCTTAATATCCGTGAAACGAACACTGAGATACAAGCCTTGATACCAGAAATATAGATGCAGATTCTTGTGTATTTAACTATTCAAAGCTGTAAACTTATTAGAAAGAAAATAATTACTTGGCTAAACAAATTACTAGAATATGTAAAGACAGAAAAATTTGAAGGAAGGTGAATAATATTTTTCTAATAAATTCTTCTAACTCAATTTATTTAGCATTTGCTTCCAATGAACACTACCAGCTTGATTGGAAGATTAGGATCTTCAACTGAAAGCGTCAAATCCTCATTCCATTCAGGATTAACATCCTTTCGTATAACACGAGTCTTCAATTTCTGCATGAAACAGCAAAATCAATATGATACAAGAAACTTAAACAAGTAGAACTGAAAGCAAACATATAGCATGTTTGGCGAAGTTTATAAGGTGCTTTCACGAAGTAAAAACTCTATATAACAAGATGGAAATTATCAGATTAAATTTGACTAAAGGAAAGCTGATTAAATTTAAGGTGAACTCAATTCATAAACAATGAATCAGTTTCTGTATTAATTAAGCAAAAATGGGAAATATCAGATTACCTGTTCACAAAAACATAGGAAGTTGACAAGTAGATAGCTCCAATTTGGCAGCCAAAATTTAAAGAGTAGGTACGGAAGACTAATGGCACAGGCAGCAATCATACTAAGCGCTTGTTTTGAAAAAGATTACATTCGGTTTAAATAATTAATAAATAGAAACTAATGGTGGAGAAGTGGGTAGTACTTGTGAATCTTACAAAATGTGTGCAAAAAATGTAGGTTTGACTGATAATTTTTATAAATTAAGCCCCTGTTTGATTCCCATTAAATTAAATTCTATTACATTTCATTTTTCTCTCTCTTATTTTCAACCACACAATCTTCCATAAAATAATATTATACGTAAATCGAAAACTTTTCATTCTTTTTCAACCACTCATTTTTCAAAAAAGCACTATTCCCCTCATTAATTTTCCTACGTAATGAGAATCAAACAGGGGCTAAATAGATGTCAAACATGGGCTAAGTTTATACAAGCAACAGAAAATGTGCTTTTATAGCTCCAGGTTTTATGCTAGTATCCCCTTGCACTTACGTATACTTGGAACTTGCAAAAAGTAGTTCCAAACATTTTCTATATCAGTTAGAAATTATTTACCTCCTCGTCTTGGTATTTTAGATCTTGTTATCCTACAGATCTATAGGCAAGTGGCTTTCTTGGGTCAAGTCATAGCTTTTTCTGTTGATCACTACTGTCTGCAAATCCGGCCTTTAAACCACTATCAACAGATGTGCGGTTACTGGTCAGAAACCACTTGCTGCACGTAATCAAACAAATTTCTAACTCGAATTCATACTTCTACCTCTCCGAAACTGCACAATAACCATTCCCTGTTCCTCATTGCTAAATAGACCCTTGTTACCCTATTATTTTCCCCACCTTCCAATGGTTAGTAGGATTAGACAAGTGTTAGACAGCATTAAGCAAGGAAAAGAAATTTAAAATCTTGTCCATTGTACCATCTAATCTTATGTAGTAATGTGTACCAAACATAAGCATAAGCCCAAAAGCTCATCCAAGTCAATATTACCTCAAAAACAACTGACATGCACAACAAAAGGACAATATGATTTTTCTACTTGAGCTTTATTGGACAGCATGCTAGGAGAACGTGTCAGGAATTTTCATGAGAAATAAAGAGGTTGAAAGCATCTCTTTCAAATTCAGCAGGGATAATCATAAGATCATATTCAAAACATTCAAATAGCAGATTGTTAACCAATGGCAATGAGCAACCCTTATGAAAATAAGGATATGAAGACAATTTATCATATCATTATCATGACATGGCAGAAATATTTAACCAAGTGGAAGGTTCAAATAGTCGCAACTTGTCCTTGATACTTTTTTCTAACAATCGAAAAATTCATTAAAGAAGTACATATACAAGAAGCATAAGAAACTGATGTTACCCAAAAAAATCCAAACAATTCACACAAGAGGGATGGTTTGGCAGGACTGAAACAAAAGAAAGATAAGTATGGCCTCTCTAAAGGAAAATCCTGTAAAGGCTGAGTAGGCTGAGTTCCACAAAGATGGGCGTTCTTCTAAACTCGATATTCTGTGTCACATCCATCTCAGTTCCAAACAAAGCTGGTTATACAAAATTCTGAATAATTTAATAAATTCCTCCTTTAGGGAAATCTCCTTATGTCCAAACATCTCCCTATAACCTCAGTCTTCTCCTGTCGCCTCAACAAACTAGTGAATGAATTCAGAGAAGTCCTCCCCTAACAGGTTCAGTTTGGCTAGAATAGTCCTCTTCATCAGTCGTGAAAGTAAATCATGTGAACAAGTTATTTATATGATCAAAAGTTTATTTCTTTTTGTAGACCCACAAGCTACGAATTGAAAAGAGACTTAAAGTAAATATCAAATTACCCAGAACAAAAAATAATTTATACAACTCTCCTTCAAATGTGGGTTTCAATGAATGTGTTTGTGGGTACGCTTAGCACTTGGTAGGTCTGGAGCAGAGGTTGTTCGAGCCGCGGTGAGAAGGATAGTTCGATAGATACCATAGGCTTTATGGGATGGATGCCTCAGGTGGGTAGAGATGGCCGCAATAGATTCTTCTGACCAAGTCCAGTGGATGATACAAATCGAAGTATCGTTTTGACACATAGATTTTTTCTAATTACGTCAAAATCTTTGTTTTCAATTTTCAGTTGACTATTCAGCCACGTAATATTTTGGGACTCAAAACACTACAGAGGTTCGACCTGAAGAATTTCTCTTTTCAGGTGACTACTTAGCAAGCACCAAGATTTGGAGAGCAACTGATTGTGGAGTTTCAATCTAGTTTAGATTATTAACCGGTCTTGACTTCATTTTGCATACAGAAAATAACAAAAAACTTCAATTCCATTTCACCCATTTTGATTAGGACGTATCAGGAGCAAGAAATTACAGGATGGTAAATTTTTGTAGTAACTAAACAATTCCTAAAACAACATACCCTTACCTACATTCCATCCCATCAAAAAATTGGAAAACATAAACCAAAAAGAAAACATGCTACTAATACAAGTACGGCAAGCACCTCGTCTACTGCAATGTACCCCAAACTGTGGATTTCTCAACCTCCTTTCTTAAAAAAAAACAAATTAGGAAATACCCAAAAGATCTTATAACTATGTTCCTTCTTCATTGGATGCTCCTACAAAAGAAAATGTTGACATAAATCTAAGCAAGATTCCAGTTAATTAGTTCTAGTTTTCTGTAAAAAAGGAAAGCAAATCAAGATTGGACTAAAACTTAGGGAGCGCTTTATTGCGAGTATGGAATTTGCATGAAAAGAAAATGGAAATTATTAATTAAATATATTTGAATAATTTAATTTTCAACCTAAAAAATATTATATTTGTTCATTTTTTATTGGTGAGTAGATAAGAGGGGGGAGAAGTGATAGAGAGAGAGAAACAGAGTGAATTACCTAAAAAACTAAAAACTAGCCCTTTCTAAAGAAAATGTTTTCCTCATTTTTTTAAGAAAAATATAGTCACATGACCAAAAGTTGAAAAATGTTTTCTATGAAAAAAATTTGTCAATCAAACACCTCCAGAGTTGGGAATTTGAGTGGAAAAATATAACATTTTTCATAAAAATAAAGCCAATCAAACCGCTGTTAGAGAAACAACTGGGAGAAGTCCAAAGGCCAAGCTGAAAATTTTTCACATACTCTTAACAATCTAACAAGGATTAATAAAAAACAACATCGTCTAACTCTGCAACAAAACTTCCCAACACTTCGGGTCCTGTAGCTTTTCTCAATCCTTATGAAACCACAAGTTACCATGTCTCTCTTTGCTACTTAATTTGATTTTGATCACAGTATATCCCATCATAACCTCTAACATCTATATTAAACGTTTTAACTATTCAGTGATACACTTAATAACCGTTACGAAGTCGCAAACAATCTCAATTAAGTTTCTCTTGAAATCACATGAACAATCCAGCGAAGCGCCCAGAAGACGAAGACAATCTATAAGAACCATAAACAACGCAATAAACGACAGAAGGCAAAAGTCAACCCAACCCAACCCAACATCTCCAAACTATCAAACAACAAGAGTACAAAATTGCAATACTAGTGATAAAACACATGAAAAACAACATATACATAAACAAATATACCAATCGCCACAAATTACATCAAATGAAAGTGATCAAGAAATGTAGACCAACCTGTTTACCCATTTTGACAACAACGTAAGGATCGCTACTTCGTACATCACGAACGGCAAGATTTACACCTCTCTTGACCCGAATTCTAAGAAGTCCCAATAGATTTTCCATCCGAGATTCTGTTGCACTTCCTGGTGATAAAGATTCTGGCGTTCTTGGTGACTCCATTTTAAAATCTCTATTTATTAGCCCTTTCCCTTCCTTGTGGGTACTGTTGACTCTCTGGAAACAATTTTCTTTATTATTTTAACGCACTTGTTCCATCAAATCAACCAGTTCCCGCAAAAAATTGCCAATTGTAATAATTGGACCGTAGAAAAGAGATAACATTGCATCAACCAATAATAAATGAGATATAATTTGACTTTTAATGGACAAAATGGGGCCGCATTTCTGCGCTGATTAAACATTCCATTCGGGACCCAGTTTTCGGAATCTTAATTGAAACTGCACCAGCATACACGGGATATAACTCGACACGTTACGTTACCCCTTTAGATATCATGAATCCAGTCGAATTCAATTAAAGAGTAATTTAAGATTTGACTACAAATTGTATTTAAAATACTTGTAAACATATCATTATAACACATTAAATATAATCGTGCATAATACTTACTTTGCCGATGTATCTTCTTTAGCTATTTTGCAAGTGGAAACGAGGGAGAAAGGTGTGTTTTGTTTTCTGGGAAGAAGGGGAACACAAAAATGGAAAATTGGATTGGATTGGGTTAAATGGAATTTGCGCAGATTGTGAAGCGCGTAAGTCTGATTTTAGTAAGAGGATGTTAATGTTGGAATTAATTGAATTTGATTTGGGTTTGATTTGAGTTTAAAATATTAAATGTAATATTTAATGATATGGGTCATTGCAATTAATTTGAGTGAATTGGAAAAGTCTCAAATATAAGCCCATATGTTGATAAGCCAATTTTAAGTGGTTTTTATATGGAAAGGAGTCCCACATCGAAAGTTTACAAGAAAATAGTCTTATTTATATAGTGGGTTGTGTAAATAATATATCATTTAATATGTTACCTACCACTTGACTAACTTTAGCTAGCCAAAGGCTAGCAAACTAGCCAAAGGCTAGTCACCACTAGAGTGGTGCTTCGCACCACTAGCACCGTTCCCCGGACCCGGTCCCAGCACGCGCACGAGTGGCAGCACAAGGCTCGGTGAGTTGGCATTCTAGGTGGCGCACGAGTGGTAGGTCGCGTCCCTTCGTCCTGCATGGCGGTTAGATGTACGCGTGGCATCCGTATGGCTGTGACTGTTCAGAAATTGGTGAATAGGCATGATGAATGGATACTTCACTTCATGGTTCAATCTGGGCCGTCAGATCATAAAAATAGTGCGATCCAATGGCTAAGACGAATCAGACCAAGTGGTGCACCAGTTCCTGAAATGTCACACACCTGTTCCATGAGACACTTCAATCTCTATAAATAGGGACCCCCAGATTCGTTTTTTGACACACCAAATCAATTACGAATTCAATTGATTTCTAAATTCTTCTATCTCCATATTCTGCTCGTAAAAAATCTCTTATACTTCCGTCGTTATTCCGTTCAAGTACGATCATTCATTGGTTCGACCGACAAGGTTGGTATTGTGCAGTATCGACTTTGGAAGGAGCGTTGTATCTTGGGAGACAGACGTCCATAATCCCGTTTGCACTTCATTGGGGGGCGAAATCTGTCTTAAGGAGATTTGCTTACTTTATTGGCATACCTCGCTTCATTTACTGTCTATTTTTCTACTTATTTTATTTCTTCTTTAGATTGCGTTAGTCGAATTTCCGACAACAATCTTAAGACAGAATATTTATTTTTTCATTTCTTCTACATTTCTATTATTGATTATTTTCTGTAATTGTGGTTTTACAGAAAATGGCTAGTACATCAAATAATAATACTAGCGCTGTGATTGGTACTGTTGAGAGCAATACTAATGCGGTGATTGCGCCAAATTCAGGTTCCAATCAATTTGTTTTGCCGCCGGCTTCACAATATGAGAAACCGAAAAAGTTCAATGGCACGGATTTCAAACGTTGGCAACAGAAAATGCTATTCTATTTGACAACATTGAACTTAGTAAAATTTCTGCGTGAAGAATGTCCTGCACAAACATCGGAGAATGCTACTGATAAAAATACTCAGTTAGCTATTGAAGCATGGAAACATGCGGATTTCTTATGCCGTAATTACATTCTCAGTGGATTAGATAACACTTTATATAGTGTGTATTGTAATTACAAGACGGCTAAAGAACTGTGGGAGTCTCTTGACAAAAAATACAAAACCGAAGATACCGAAACGAAGAAATTCATTGTCGGCAAATTTCTAGATTTCAAGATGACTGATTCAAAGACAGTTATGAGTCAGGTTCAAGAGATACAAGTTCTACTTCACAATATTGAAGCTGAAGGTATGACTTTAAGTGAATCTTTCCAAATAGCTGCTATGATCGAGAAACTACCTCCACTATGGAAAGATTTCAAAAACTATCTCAAGCATAAACGCAAAGAGATGACGATGGAGGATCTAATTGTTCGACTTCGCATTGAAGAAGACAACCGGGCTGCAGAAAAGAAGAATAATGTCCGCAACATGGAAGCAAAGGCTAACATGGTAGAAGACTCGGGGTCTAAGAACAATAAAAGGAAGCGTTCTGGCTTATCTATGGACAAAGAAAAAGTCAACAATGCAAAACGGTTCAAAGGCAACTGTTATACTTACGGGAAGCCGGGACATCGGGCTAAAGACTATCGAAGCAAAAAGAAGGATACGCAGAAAAAGAAACCGCCCCAAGCCAATATAACCGAAGTGGATAAAATTTCTACAGATGTTGAAGACATCAACTTATCTGCTGTTGTTCTGAAGTTAATTTGGTATCTAATGCCAAGGATTGGTGGTTGGACACAGGAGCCACTCGTCACATCTGTGCAGATAAGGGTCTATTCGCTGAATATAAGACCTTGAATCATAATGAGTGTCTTTACATGGGAAATTCTACAACATCCAATATTGAAGGGATTGGAAAGGTTATTCTGAAATTCACATCGGGGAAGGAACTGACGCTTAATGAAGTTGTACATGTCCCAGATATCAGAAAGAATTTGATTTCAGGAGCTATTCTTAGTAAGAAAGGATTTAAAATGGTGTTTGAATCTGATAGATTTGTACTTACTAAGGGGGGCATGTATGTTGGGAAGGGTTATTTACTTGATGGTCTATTTAAGGCCAATGCTGTTGTAGTGGACAAAAAATCCACATATCTGTATCCACAAGTTATCAATAAAACTAATGCTTCCGTTTACTTGCTTGAATCTTCAAATTTATGGCATAGCAGATTAGGACATGTAAATCGTGCTTCCTTAAGAAAACTTGTAGGTTTAGGTCTTATACCTAAACTTGACTCCGAAGATAAACATAAATGTGAAATTTGTGTTGAAGCAAAATTTGCTAAAAAACCTTTTAACACAATTGAAAGGAGTAGTGAACCGTTATGTTTAATACA